ATTTTATTATTTAAGGCTAGGCACATTATAAAACATATTGCAGTACTCTGACTAGCTTCAAGATGTTAACAGCCTGTGCAGCAGATGTCTGCCGTGCTTTCTACATGATGCCACCCAGAGCTGCCAAATCAAAATGCAGTGGAAGCATACGTAGCAGCCATTTCTACAGAAGCTGATTTCTGACAGACTGCAGCTTTGGAGACACGTGCCTGTACCAAAGAAACATTTTCTGACAAAGGAATTGAAGGAGGCAGAATTAATACTTAAGAAATTTAAATCTTTCCAGGATGCGAATAATGCAAAGATAAAACAGGCATGTTACCTGAACTGCTTGAACAGCAGTGAGTTCGATCTAAAATATAAAATGTTCCACATATTATGGATCCTGGCTGCCTTGCCAGTACTGTATATCTGTTGAAAGGTGATCTGACAGTGGAGTTCAAATAAGCAGCCCACAAGAGGAATTAAACTATATAACAGAACCCACTAAGGTGAGGCCAGATTCTGAACAATCAATGATTCTGAAATTGGCCTGGAAATTCTTCCTTTACCACCACGTCATCAATGACTGTCTTAAAAAGACATGCGTCAAAGGACAGTTATAGAGTATAAGAGTTTACAGCTGAAGACCAAGAGTGACTAAACAGCAGACAGTGAGTTACAGATTACAGTCTTTCCAAACTGGGATCCCACATTGGCAAATTAGATACTATTAGATACATCTCTTAGTAATAGTTCTTACCAACACATTTTTATTACATTTTATTTACCTAAACCTTGTTCCAAAATTGTATGCGATATTCTAAATGAGGCCTTCCTAGTGTATTACACAAGTTTATCATAGCATGCCCTGATTTAAATTATTTGCTTACTGTACAGTATATCAATTCTTGCATTTTGTTTGCTGTATAGTTTCCCAACATTATTCTGAAAATGCAAATGATCATACGCAGCCTTTTCTACCACAGTGGTATTCATTGCTAGTTTTTGCTACTTGCAAAGCCCACCACTTGTTATCTACCATGCGAGGTGGTCTCCCAGTCTTGAAGTTCATCTAAATATGTATTTTTTTTCACTTAAGAACCTCATAACTTCAGAAGTGCAAGACCTGCCTTTTAAATCAATACGACAAATTCAGCATAAACATCAATGTGTGCATCTGGGATACCTGCAACGACAAAGCAGTCTTCTGGGAAGGTTTCCCGACCAGCCCCTGCTCCTTGCGCTTCTTGAACTTTCTGAAGTACTCCTGTATGAGGAAGGTGGCATAGAACTTCCCCACAGTGACCTCATCATCTATAGGACAAGACAAACATTATTACATTACTGCACATGATAATTCATTCAAAATCAGTTGGTATAATTTAGTGCTGACAGACACTGCAGGGTCAAAAACTCAAGTTGGAAAAAAATTACTCTTTACAGCTCAGTTGATCTATGTCTGCACTCCCTAGATGTCACAGTGTATCATGAATACATTGCAGTAACTGTGATTACTCTATGATGTTCTGCAGTATGTAATGGTAAGCACTAGTAACTATGATTAACTGTGATTACTGTGATACCACAGTGTGAAGTGATCCTTTATTTTCCTTGGCCAAGATCTTTAGGGTGATAATGAAAGAGTCATGAAAACAAAGGTTTTGTTATTAATTCGTTTGCACCTACGTATTTCCCCACAATGTTATATAAAACACAAAAGTATAAATCCAAATCTAAACCCATAAATCTTTTCAGTTCAGTTTTTAAGTTGTGTAATTCACAACTAACTGGTTTTTAAGAGGTCTGACAGAAGATGGATCATTAAATAATTGTTCACATGGCTTTTACAAAGCCCAGTGATGATCTAAAATAATGAACACCATTATTTTAGGACACTGGAACTCAGACAGTACACTGTCCTGCGGGTTTCCAGGGCTGACCTCCTGCTGGTGGCACAACTTGATCCAGGAGCTTCATGCTGGTTCTTTTCCAAATTTTCTTCACAATTGCCCTGAGCTCTTCGTTTGCCTGCTCCAGGTTGCCTGTGAATCAGAAAAAGCAATATACTGTAAATATCAAAAGGCAACCCAGGGTCCCAGGGCTGCTAAAAAAACTATGATAAGAACATTTTCTCTATTGAAATCTAGCTTTCAGACACATCAGGATATGGGTAATATGGGATAGTATGATCTACCTTGAAAAAGTCACATGGAAAATTAAGACATACAGTACTCTGTTAAACTATGGAGGAACACTGATGTAAAGAAACAAATTGCTGTCATGTTACATTGTCAAAATGTAAGAAATTTCAAATAGTATCTTTATTTTTGGATTAGTATCTTTAAGATTATTTCTTCATGATTTTTTTATTGGTGAGAAATAACATTGGAGAATATTTCTAAATTTGTCTATATGTATG